GACAGGCTCTGACTTACGTGACAGCAGCTTTCCTTTGGCTGAGAATGGGGTGAAGGGGAGAAAGGGCAGTAGTAAGATGGCCAGTGAACAGACGACTGCACTAGTCCAGGCAGGACATGGAGGAGGCTGGACTGACGTGGTGGCAGTGGAGAGGCACAGACGGGCCCGATTCTGGATCTGCTAAGGGATCAAAGGTGGGGTGTGGGAGGAAAAAAAAGGAGTCAGGAGGGAATATAACACCTCGATTTTAAAGACAGCACTTGCTGTATCCCCAGTGCACGGGACAGGGTTGATCTCAATCACTAGTTACTGAAAGAGGAGGAGCAAATAAAGGAAGAAAGAGAACCCCAGTCTCAGGTTCCCTCTTCAGACCAGACTGGTTGTTTTCTGTTGTGGTTTTTTTTCTCTTTTTCAAGCCTGTCAGAAGACGACCTCTGGTGGCTAATTATTGGGACCGCAAATACCCACGTTGAGGACCATAAGGAACGAAGATGTCCAGCTGGATAAAATCAGGGATCACACTTCACCCTCCATCCATTTTACAGATGAAGATGTGAGGCCCACCTAGGGTTGAGGTCCGATCTCCATCTCAACGGCCGCCCCTTCTGGCCTCCCAGCTATTGTTTTCCAGGGCTGAATGAGCCTCTTAGAGAAATCTCCACACCCTCCCATAGGATGCTGGGAGTCTATCCACACTGCCTTCCTACGTTCTCAGAAAGCATCATAATGCCTGAGCCTGCATATACTCCAGTCCAGGCATTCTCCAAATCCCCAAGTTAGCCCATACCACCCATACTTAGCCGAATGTGAAATCTCTACTCCTTCTGAACTAGAATCTCCACCATCCTTCACTCCTGGAATCCTGCCCTAGAGCACCCAGCAGAGGTCTGTGTACAAGGATCCATTTGCCACATACACACCTGAAAGCTGCTCCCCTCCCAGCCCAGTTCTTCCAGCTTGGGTAAAGGGCATGCTCCCCCCATCAGCACCCAAGTCAGACGGCACCATGATTCCCGCCACCTTCAACTCTTGGCATGCCTTAAACTGTCATTGTTCATTACGCGAGACAGAACCGAGGAGAGGAAAGGAGGTCTCAGATGTGTTCTGAGCAGAACAGAGGGGCTGTCAACTCCTTTTGGTTGCGTGTAAGACCTCTATTGATGCAACACGAGATGGCATTTGATGTTGTTGTTTTTTTTTAATTTCTTTTTTCTTCGTTTTTCTTTTTTAAAGTAATTTTTAATTTTAGGTTACACAACCAACGGTGTTATAGATTCCTAGAAAATTGAAACCTTTCAGTTAAGGTTCAGGTCCTCTTTGATCACTTCCCATCCCCCTTCCCATTCCCTGGCTCCTTGCGCGCGCGCGCGCNTTCTCGAACGGTAGCTAGTCCTCAAGTAGGAGGACCAGAGAGCACCATCTGTCACATAGTTTATCATTGGGGTGGCTACCTGTGTTAACTAATTGTCCTTACCCACAGGAAAAGAAACTCATATCTTTATGAGAGGAGGTTGTTTTGCAACTTGGAGCCCAGCACTGAAATTAGGCTCCACCCTCCCACAGAAACTGGGTAATAGGGGTGCTGGCTTACTTGATAGTATTTACATTATGAAGAGATGGCTTCCAGGTTCCTGAGAAAAACATTCCTGGGTGGTAAAACTCACAAGAAGCTAGTTCAGCTTTTTTAAAGAACCATATACATCTGAAAGGAGCAGAGAAAGCATCTACAAGTTTTCTAAAGTAAATGCTCTAAGAAAAGGGATAGGGGATGCCTCCATTTTTGGCACCAGGGAGAATATTTTTTTAATTTGTATTTGCCCTTACAAAGGCATTTGGGTTGTTTCCAAACATTCCCTCCCAGAAAGAATGTTGGCGTGGCTAATGAGTAAGAAACTCTCTGTGCTGACACGGGAAGATGCTCCAAGAATAATTACACGGAGAGTAGACGCAGAAGAGCGTGTAGAGTATGGAGCTGGCCACGCTACTATAAGTCTGTCAAGGACCAGGTGAGAGGGCGAGTGACTCAGTATTTAGAAAAGGCACCTCCATTTGACAACCCTCTCTGTGGTTTTGCTTTTACCCATCACCCTGGGAACTCTTGATGACACTGACACCTTTAAGTTAATGTACATGAGTTAGCACTCCTCCGTCCCCTCCTCTGTACAGTGGGGATGATCAAACCATGTCCCTCTCACTTTGTAAGGTCTTTTTATTTTTAACACCTTCTAATGCTTCAGATAGATAGCATGTGAGCCTCCCTGTGTGTCCCAGGCCCTATAAATGGGGTACTGAGTTAGCGATGGTCCAGACAGGGAAATGATATAGCCAGAGTCCCCCAGAAAATGGGCCGCAAAGCCAGGGCCCAGACTCTGGCTCTGAATCCAGGGTTCTTTTTAATGAGCTGTTGGCATAAATACTGAGGTACCACCCTCCAGATTTATCCTGAAGGAAGGTGGCCCCAGGACCCTGAATATGTAGAGTCAGGCCAGGACTGCTTTGAGGCGAGGTCCACAAAGTCACCTGAAAGAGAATTGGTAGGGATTCCACCAGTACGCTTCCTCGGGGTTGGTCAGCCCTAGGACAAGCAACAAGGAAGTCTCTACCCTGTTCATCCTCACTGTTGCCCACCATGGTGACCATCAACTTTATGGCTCTAAGAGCCTTCCCACTACCACCCTTCCTGGTTGGCCAGATGCCAGGGCATGGGGCCGTTCCCGCGGTATCTGCTGAGAATCTCCCCATGCCCTGGGCTCTTCCTGAGACATCACTGATTTAATTTTCCCAGAAGCCCTAACTCTATTTCTTTTATTATCAAGCCTATGTTGCAGATGAAGAAACTGAGGCACAGAGAGGTTAAGTGTCTTGGCTGAGGTCACACATCCAGTGAGTGGCAGAACCAGGACTTGGACCCAGGCCGCCTAGGCTCTGTATTACATGATCTTTCTGTGTCAGAGACATGAGTCTCAAAGCATGTGAACCAGTCAAAAGAACCTTGGCTTCGGGTGAAAATAAAGCACCTCCCCTGGCTCGCTGTCTTCTAGTTTGAAGTGCAAATATTTCAAATAGAAATAGAAGAAAACTCCCATGGCCTCCACTCCATCACCGCCCAACACACACACACACACACACACACACACACACACACACACTCAAACTCCTCTAGAAGTGAAAAGAAGGGAAGGGAAATTAGCACTTCTGTAGGCAGGATGTGATTGGCACATGCACAGTCTAATGGTATCACTTTAAAAATGATTAGCAGAGGGGCTGAAACTTGTCAGAGGTTTATCACCTTGTCTTACAATTCTGGTTTTGCAATGGGATGACCTTTTCTGATTCTCTTAATGACGTTTGTAAAGGTAAAATCTGGCAGGAGTGCCACGGTAAATATTAGTGTTGCCAGGACTCTCATTTGGAAATTCCTGGTTGAGCAGCTGACTCCTGGGTGTGCCTTAAGAAAGAACAGCTGCTCAATTACAACTTGTAATTAGACCTAGGCTGGTGTCCTCTCACAGGGTTCAATGGTTAGAACGTAAGATACAGAACTTTCCGTCTTGGTAAAGAAAGATATTATTATTGAGGGAATGAAGATAAGCAACAAACAGCACTGCTAGTTGCTATAAAGTCCATTGTCTAATTTCTTTCATAGTCATAGAACCCCTGACTTTTAGCTGGGCACATAGTAACCCACAGTAAAGACCACATTTCCCAGGCTTCCTTGTGGCTAGGAATGGCCATGTGATCATATTCAGACAACCGTTACCAAGAATAATGTGTGCGACCTCTAGGTTGCGTAATTAATAGGCAGGGGCATTTACCCCTTCCTGCTGGTAGAAATGCAGGTGTGATGGCTGGAGCTGGAGTAATTGTATTAGACCACGAGGAAAAAGCCACAGGTTGAGAATAATACAGGAAGAATACAGAGGGAGTCAGAAACCATGATTGTGGAGCCACCAATCCACCTGGGACCCAGATTTAATGTGACAGAGAAATAAGCTTCTGTATCGTTTAAGTTTCTATAATGTGGGTGACATTTTGTTATAACAGCAGAATTCTCATATTTGTATATGTATGTTTATATGTATATGTATATACATATATACACTCACACACATACAATCACACAGAGAGAGGATTGGAAAGATATTATATATATCAAAATAGCCTAGCTAATTCCAGAGGGAGGGATTTCTGTGAGGTATTTTTTCTTCATGACACATTGCTGCACTCTGAATTTTTTCTTTGAGCATGTATTATTTCACAACTCAATAAAATAAAGTCTAAAGAAAGAAAGGTTCTTATAAATAGATCCTATTGTTTAAATCACCTTCATTTGCATCATATGAGTATCCAAAGATCTCACTCACTCTCACTCAACCACATACACACACACACACACACACACACACACACACACGCACGCACTCGCACAGATTTAGGTCTTACAGAATATTTGGCTTTGTTTCCTGTGGGTTGTGGAACTTTTGTTTCGATGTTCTTTTTACTGAACCAAATGTCTTGGAGATGGTTCCATGTCTCTGTGTATAGGGTGACCTTGTTTCTTGTAACCAGCACAAAGCACTTTCTGGCTGGACTTTACTGAATGGTCCCTGCTGGTGGACATCTATACTGTTTCCAATTTTAAGCTACTGAAAAAAAAAATGCAGTAATGAAAGTTCTCAGACCTCCTTCTCTATGCACTTGGACAAGGCTTGGAAGTCTAACAAACATGGGTTTTAATCTGGCTCCCCTGATTATTTGCTATGTGACCTCAACTTACTGTGCATTTCTTTCTTTTTTTTTTTTTAAGTATTTTATTGGTGAATTGGGGGGATGGGAACAGTGCCGGGGAATTGGGGGAAGGGGGACAGACAAGTTGCTGTCATTTTGTTCTTCAGTCTAGTTGTGGAGGATGTTGCTTCACTGGCCCAAGTTGGCACCATCATTGCACTCTTCCCGNGGCTCACCACCTGTGTCAATGTCACTGAGGCATCTTACACCACCCCAAGCCCTAATACCACCAGGAGGACTGACACTCCACAGGTACCCGGCGTCACCCAGAGCTGGTACAGTGCTCTGTGCTTCGTCACAGCAAGGTCACTTGTTTCTGAAATGTTGGGTGGACCCATGTTCTTGACTGGGCTGCAGTTTAGATGATCTGGGAGAGCTACTGAGCCAATGGGCCCCCCACACAGCCAGACCAATGAAATAAGCCTCTCTAAAGGTGGATTTTCCCTGAAATCCTTGAGGTCAGATGTGCATTGGGATCCGGAGTTTCAGATTTTAGAACACACCTGCCCCACCTGTCATGCAGTAATCCAGCCCAGTGACACTGCTGTAAATGGCCTCACATCCCTTCAGGTGTTGCTGCCAACTGAGTCATGAAAAAGTTCTAAGCTTTTTGGATTCCAGAATTGCAAAATAGGGATTATGAGCGTGTGTTTATTCAAAATTCCCCATGTGATGCTAATGTACAGCCAGGGCTGAGAACCATAGACTTTAGACATTTCTTCAACACCTCCTGTTGTTAAAAACGTCTGTCAACATAAGAGACATCCAAACCTGTAGAGAATTTTTATAAGGGTTTATTTGAGCCCAAACTGGTGACAATTGTCAGGAAGCAGGATCTCAAATGCTTCAGATGATAATAGTTTTGCAGTTTCTTTTATGCATTTGAAAATCAGGAGGGAACCTAAGGAAGATTACACGGAGGTGGGAGAGGGCAAGATGGGTATCGGATTACAAAAGAGTTAAGATTATGTGCTCTTTTGAGGATGTTTAGGCCTTTGAGGGGTATTACTTCTAGCATTTCAAAGGTGTGTTAACCCAGATGCACAGAAACAATGAACAGGGCTTGCTTAAGGAAAAGATAAAATTTTCACTAAAAAAATTATATGGGGGTGACCAGTTAGCTCCGTTGGTTAAGAGCGTGGTTCTAATAACACCAAGGTTGCCGGTTCCATTACCACATAGACCACTGTGAGCTGCGCCCTCCTTGAAAAAAAAAAAAAAAA